GCGTTTTCTTTCAGTGCGGCTCGTCGTCTTGCGCTTTTGCGTGTCTGTTAACGTCTGCCGTGGTGTGGGTTTGTTCGGAGTTGACGGATCGTGTTCAGCGGTTGCGTGTGGCCCATAACCTGTGGTTCTAGGAACACCAATACCCCCCGATCCTCTGGGGAGCGGGGGACGGCGGTGACTTTATTGTTCAAGTGAGTAAGATGCTGTAATGCTGTGCCTTATTCTACGTGTGCCTTACGTGCTTGTCTCTGGATGGAACCAGGTGTTGTTTGGTTTTGTTGCACGCTAGCCGAGCGTCTGTTGTGGGTTCTGGATGGAACCACAGCGAGCTCTACTTATATTCTACACGTACTTAACCCTTACAGTAGCATAAAGAAAGACAAGTTCTGACGCATCCAGCAATTAGAGAAATGGATGCGCCTCCATATCATACATTGTTTCACAGTACCCTTGGTACCGTACAGTATACCGAAACAGTAACTTTACTGTACATTATTCCGGTATACAGTAAGGTTGCGGATGACTTTGTTTGCCGTTGAACATCCGACAGCTCTCTTCGGATGACTTTTCTTGCCGTTAAAGGCCAGCAAAGTCATCCGAAGAGAGCTGTAAGTGTGCCTGTTATTTTTGGTATCCATTCAAAGAGCTCGGAAAGTGACACGACACCACAATAGTTCGAGTAGAAAAAAGTACTTGATAGAGTGCGCTTCATGAGAATTCTAGGTTTTGGCAGAAAAACACCGGTGACAAAACAGACTGTTGCACCCTGATCAGTTTGTTACGGTGGGTATGTATGCTGCATTTTTTCTGGATAAACGGGAATGAAAGGCTATTTCTCCCCATCAAATTTTATTGGTTGCAAGAAGTGGAATGTATTACTCTGTTCCAGGATGGGGTGATCATGCATTCCACTATCACTGTAATGTGTCCCTTTCCACAATTTATTTTCCCGAAACTGTTTGTATTTCTTACGAAGTCCTGGCTTTTCACACAAAAATGTCTGCAACTTGTGGAGAAAGTTAGACAGGTGTCCCAGCGAAACTTGCGAAACTATTGGAATTCGTACTAATTCTTCACATAGCCATCCTTTCCGGGGCGTTCGATCCCGATCCAGACGAGGCCCTATAAAATCCCATTGATGAGTTGCACCGCGCTTTTCTATCTAGCCGCCGAGACAGATCTAGGGATTGCATCCAGTGCTTCAAATCCCAGGATCTCACCCCGGTGACAAGAATCGCATTTCTCTCATCTTCGTTGGCGGCTTTCTCAAGCCCTGACACTAATACTCCTAGGAGAATTAGTGAGATAGGACTATGTTTCTGCGTATCAACACGGGGATCCCGGGCACCGAGTTCAGAAGCTGCACCGGAATGCATGTACAGGTACATTATTTTTCTATTCATTGAGCATGTCCACAGTGATCCCAAAATATGCTAAGTTGTTGTTCTCTATTGCTCTCCCCAGCGAATTCACGCCCTCCATTCTCTTATATTATTCTTCACAATGTTACGCAACACTGATCCTTCAGTTTGAAGTTTTGAAAATCGCTTTATGCCTCATCATTACGCCCCCTTCATCGCCCTTTCATTTCCATATCTGCACTGCTCCTGTGATTTCGGTACGATGACACCAATCGTCAAAGACATTCAACAGTTCTATCTGTTTCTGACGACTTTCTATGCATCATTCCTCTCCGCATACTTTTCAATGTCAGGGCCGGAGGAAGGTAGTTCTTCGCGTTCCGATCGTTCTAACACCGAAGCACAGTTAGTTTCTGTTCCAGTCGTTCTCCCTCGAGATATATGTCGCCCAGTTGTGCGACGAGATGGCCGTGGTCGTTTCTCAATTCGATCTTCGCAGTCCCGGCAGAGAGTACAGCGAGCCCAACAGCAAAGAGATTACATTCGTCAAAGAGAAATTTTGAAGAAGCGACTTTATGAGGATTATCTGCACGCATTTTGTGTCCGAGGTAACAGCAGCGATCATATCTCCACTTCAAGGTCAACAGGACCGCTCGTTGAAATATTTGAACGTCTCTTAAAAAGCCATATCGCCTCGGAAGAACTGAGCGATGCATGAAAATGCGCTCTTTCTACATGGAAGGGGGACACTTGCGTCACAATAACATTTCTAGTCACGACCAAGGTCTTCTTACACCTCCATATCCGACCCTTGCAAAGAGATCGAAGAAATACAGTGGCTGCCGCCTGCCCTCTGCCACTAAACGTATGACTGAAATGGCGGATGTCAGTGAGTGGATCAAATCTGCGTGGTCTGTGAACGCTCTTACAACAGATACTGAAATGGAGGCATACGAAATATGCAAGAGTATTATGGAGACCTACAATCCTATGGTCAGGGCCACAAATAGGTCAACGTCGGAGAGTCATTCAAGATCTTCTGAACCTGAAACAGAGACGCCACGGGGCGACTTATGTGCGAACTGTAGCATTTCGCTTTCGGACCGCTCCAGAGCCATCCGTGCAGAACCCAGTCGCTCACCTCAAGAGGTCAATGATGAGCAACGTGAAGTTGAGCATACTTCCCTTCCAAATAATAGCACGGATGCTGCTGCCAGAATTGTGGATCCGAACGACGCTTCAGAAACTGAAGCTGCTCACGCAGAGTCTGGGCACGGATCGGAGCATGACTATACTCAAAAAAGAAAACTGGAACGAATGATTGAACTGGCCCTCAACGATGATAGCTTCTTGATAGTGTGCTCTCTATTTGACGAGCAGCCGGATATTGAATTCGGGATGTATTCTGGAGTTTACTTAGACCAGTGCCGTCGTGAAAAAATTACAGCCACCGCTTTCATGAAGGAAGTGCTCACTTACTCTCACTGGAAGAAATTCGGTATTGTCAACAGAAGAGAGCATGAGGAACGCGAACAGAGATTGCGGTCGACCATGCATACTTTTGAAGCAATTCGGGCTGTCCATGGCAAGAAATCGTATCAAGAGATGCGCTGGAACTTTCCTTGAGACAGATATCCTTAGCAGTCTACTTTCCCGTTTGCAAATCTTGCTCTTTCCATTTCCGTTCTCTTCGAAGCCCGGTATCCTTCCCAAATCGGTCCATTTCACTCACATAACCACAAGTACCTGCCAGAAAAAAGCGAGTCTTATTGCATTTAATTGTATCGCAGCACTTGCGTCTTTGGACATGACGATTGTCGCGTCTACCAGGAAGCATCACATGCAACGAATTTTTCGAGTGGTCGATTGCCGCTAGCTATTGCAATCGAGCAAACCAATGTTACCAAGAGGCAGACGACTGCTATTGGTGGTGCGGTGGGCGGGGGGGATTTTCCCCTATCCTTCTCTGGTGGCTTGTTTTCAAGGGAGAGCATGCTCCAAACGTTTCCTCCGCAGTTGCTTTTGCGCTTCCGGGTAGTAGATAGTTTCTCACTGTTGATCGAGAACGTGTACCATATTCCTCTTTCGGGGCGAGAATTGAAGACCTAGAAAATGTGTTCAAGAGTAGAGTGGTGTAGATTTGCCCGACACCGGAAGCATTGGTCTTAAAACACAAGGAAGATCAAACCTCAAAGCGCCCATGACCAAACGAGATTCGATTTCGTCCTTACGTTCCACAGCGATGGATAGATCCCGAAGGACCTTTCTCGATGAGACTTTGGCACCTTGACCCGAAAAGCCCCGAAAAGACGCTCTCTTTTAGTCCCTGTTCATACTTTGTGTCACTCAGAAAAGTTAATTCATGGCTTTTGGCTCAGTTCCAGACGTCGAAGAAAACTAAGCCTTGTGGAAGGGTAAGAGAAATCAGAAAAGGGGGCAAAGGCCATTTGTGTCGAATATATCGCTCCCTTGCTGTAGTGTATCGGCTAAGCGGTCGAGTTGTTGTCGTAGAACTAAGAGCTGATCAAGAGCGACGCATTGAGCAAAAAGAAGCGGAAGAAGAACTTCAGTTAGTTGTGGCATTGGTACCAGCAGATCAAGTCAAAAGAATGATAACACTGCGGCGCATTCCGAGCTTCTCCAAAGAGCGACGTCCGCCGATTACGGGAAGAGATGCTTACAAGACCGCGTGAATTTGTGCTCATGGGCCATGACCGAGCATGCACACTGTGCATGCGCGGATCGGATTTAATTACTTGCGGCGAACCCCGACGGAGCGGTAGCCCACTCCGTCTTTTGGCAGGGCTGGCTACCATCTTCACTCATATGAAATCATATGAGTAAAGATGGTAACCAGCTCAAGACATGATGCCCGCCACAACTGAGCGGTGTACATTGCGCTGATGATCAATATTTATAGCTCATAGTTGACATCACGAATGAAACTTAGTCGCCTTCGGGAGTGCGCGACCTCTTAAACCTCGCCCTTTTTCTTTCGCTTGATGTTAACCGATCAGAAATTGACTCGATCAACTGCAAGAGCTCGCACAAACGAGAGTTGGACAGTACTGAACAAAGATAGAGTCCGTAGATGCATGTTTACATGCATTATCGCTAACATTTGACATCAAATGTTAGCGATAATCGCAGGACATGGATCCAAGCGACGGAGGTGCACAGATGCTCGAAATAGTTGATGTACCTTGCCCATATATAAATTCAATTGCTCTCTCAGAGCGCCAATGTAAGAGCATCGCCACCGGTAGAATCAAATACCCAAACAACCAAAATTTGATGATTTGATGTCGATTGAAATCCCCACCGGTGCAACCAAATCATCAAATTTTTGGTGTCGATCTAAAAATCGGAACCAAATATCAAGAATTTGGTTCGGATAGTCTCTGTTTGATTACCCTTGACAATCCAGTTGTGCACGTTCTATTGGTCGACCGAAACGGCATCCCACCAAAATGTGCATCGATGCGGTATTTGCCTCGAGATTACCAGTGTCTCCCGCCGATCCAGAATGCCCACTACGGCGTGCATGCTCTTCCCCCTTCCATCCCTCCAGAACGTCGACGTCCCCGCCATCCCTGATGCTCTTCCCCCTTCCATCCCTCCAGAACGTCGACGGCCCCGTCATCCCTGATGCTCTTCCCCCTTCCATCCCTCCAGAACGTCGACGGCCCCGTCATCCCTGATGCTCTTCCCCCTTCCATCCCTCCAGAACGTCGACGGCCCCGCCATCCCTGAGCGCGTCCTTCCCCGCCCAGCTCTTACACAACAACAACACTTCCTCGACCAACCAGGCGCGAATCTCCGCCATCTCCTCCCGTCCCACCTACTTTGACCTGCCCAAGCACATTGCGACCGCCGCTGTACCCCCACTAACACATCATGGCACTCGTCCGCCATCGCGCAGTTCCGCACCCAGCTCGCCCCCGCCAGCCTCTTCTCTGCCTCCCCCGCCTCCAGCAATCTCAGCAACCTCGTCAACAGCTGTCTCTTCGCCTGCCTTCCCTCGACCAACAGGACGTCCCTCCCCTCCTGGCTTGCGCACGCATTCGACAGCCGCAGCACATTCGGAATACTCGGTACCCTCTCCACGAGCACGAGTAGCGTGCCCCTCTCCCGAAACCCGTCCGCGCCCTCCGCTTCGTCCATGCCCGGCGCGAAGCGCGTCAGGTTGGACAGCAGCGCCGCGTGCAGCGCGACGACGTCCGCGTCCAGGACCACCTGCGCTGCGAGCCGCACCGCGTCCGCGTGCTTCAGAGCCGCCGGCTCCTCGTCCTCCGACAGGTTCACAAGCGCAGACAGTGCTAGAGCAGTGTGATTCGCTGCTCAGCAGCTTCAGCAGCCGCAGGAGAACGTCGCTCGCGGCTGTCGAGCCAATCATCCGCCGCAGCACCGCTGCCGCCGGCGCGTATGTTCTCTCCGGGATCGCGCTGCTCGCGGTCGCGTGGGGAGCGCGTGCTGTCCGTGAGCAGGGAGGACAGCGCCGGCAATCTGTCTTTGTCCACGGTGGAGGTGAGAGGGGAGGAGTGCAGACAGAGTGGCGAGGGAGAAGGTCGCGAGATGGGTTTCGAGTGAGCGTGCCACTACGACTGAGGGTGCGATACGAGGGTGAGTACGAGTGTGAGTACAAGGATGCGACGGTGAGTACGAGGGGAATGTACTTCATTTGGTTCTCACCGGTGGGGCAGTTCTTTCCGAAGCATCAAACAGCCATTAGATAAGTAAGCTTCACTACAAAAAGATGGGCGCCGCTTCGCCCCACGTTTTTGAGATCCACTTCAAAACCAATCAAATAGCTCCACATCGACTGCTGTGGATTTTTTACAGTTTAACGCTCATTTAATTGGCTGATCGATACGGAAAATATCACAACTAATGCCTACGTGAAGCCTGTGCAACAAACACTCAACACGATTTCCGAATCTGCCCCGCAGGGAGCCGGAAATGCTCCAGAACCGCGCAGCCCCATTCCGTATTTTATTGGGGTCTCTCTGCGTAGGCGAATTTCATATTCATCAGGAAGCGCCAACTCTCGAACGCGCCCCAGCCTATCTCTTTCTCATCGTGCCCTCCCTTTCCCGCCGCTTCACGCTTTCCCTTCCATTGTCACATGTCTAGGATGAATCCTCCTCCCGATCCGACTCTTCTCTCTGTGACGCCATGAATTCATAGCGCTCTAAAGCTCTAAAGCTCTCACCGTCGCGCTTTCGAAAGTTCGAAAATCGCAGGAGGGAGACCTCTACATCGTCCGCGAGCACTTTTGGACCTGCGCCGCGCGGCGCAGGTCCAAAAGTGTCCTGGCGCGCGCCAGGACGCGTTGCCCTCTTCTTTTTTGATGCTATGCCCTCCCTATTCCGTCGCTTCACGCCATTTATTTCATCGTCGCACCTCATTTAATCCGTCCGAATCCCCTTCATGCGACGTTACGCGAAACTGGAGTGTTTCTCGTATGCAAAAGAGATTGATGTAGTTCCTTCAGGGGTGATTGGACCTGGTGTGAAGCTTGTTGCGCTGTTTGCGCATGGGAACATATTAGGGATTCGTGTGGCATAGGAGGTCGGGTGGTGTATGGATTTGGGACTCCGGCGGGGACGGCGGGATTCTAGAAGGAGGTCGCTGAGGTCGGGATCAGGGACGGCTAGGGGGTGGCGAGGGAGATATTTTTTTTGCAATTGGAATGCAGAGGCTACTTGGAAATGATTTTCTCGCCGTGGGCCATTGCATTACGCAATCCGCATAATTGAGAGGAGGAGTCCTCAGTCCTTTCGAGCACAAAGTATCAACCAAGAAAGTCGCGAAGTCATCGTTGTTCTAGTCCCTCGTCCGTCATAGCAATGCAGTTCAAGTCACCTTGAATTTTTCTACTCTGCTGAAGATATGTACATTCCTCAAATGAGGGACTACTCAATAGGAAGCAATCCATGGTCAGCGTCGAACTGCCTTTGCGCCGCTCTGAATTTTTTCAGGTCTCGAGAGTATCTTTCTTGGTCCTTCGTGACAAGGTGGTAAAATCTATCAAGGGCCCCCGGAGTGTTCTCTACCTCTTCAAACAGCATTGTGAGAGTCTTGCCCTTTAGATTTCTTTCTACTGCTTTTGAGACTGTATGGCTGGCCAAAATGTCAGCAACTTTGTTGAAAATGGCCTCGTCCTCCTTGAAAACTTGGCGCAATGTCCTCGCCCCTCTCGGACTTCCGTACTCTCTTTCAGCCCAAATTTTCATCTCGTCCATGTAGCATCTCAAAGCCCTTGCACTTGGTGTAGTCGCTCTTCTCTGCAGCCAATTATCGAAATGAGCCTCACGATCCCCCATGTCGCGATAAACGCCCTTTAGCGCATGTAGGACGTGTACTGATGTATTAATATCACTGTACTCAGATGCGAGAGCAGCCATTGCGTTGCAAGCCGATGTTCCCTCGATAATGGGAAAGGGAGGTTCTGCATACGTCGCAGTTGGGACCCATGGATCAGGGTCTCGTGGACCCTTTCGAAACTTCGCATTCAGTAGGTTACGTGGAGGATAGCGCGATTTCCAGTCAAGCTCGGAATTGGAAAAGTGTATCACCGGTTTCCTAACAATCCAGTTCAGAGGAGCACACTTAACACTGTGCGATTCACCAATGGGTTCATCTGACCTCGTGTGCCCTGACCGCAATTCTAAAAGCCCCTGAGGCCATGCCCTACGAATTAACGGTTTGGAAGTGTCCCGCATCTCAGGGCATGCTGTAAGATTCCGAAACTCTATCCCATTAAACCCCACGTGCTCAGCTGTCCGAGTTGACACCACACCCGGTCCACTTGGAGAATATTGTCGGTCAAAAGGGATAACTACAGGGTCAACATATCCGTCGCCAGCGCTTAGACTAACTCCATGACCAGCTTCTTTAGCTCTAGAGTCCTGTAGGTCCGCAGCCGGCACATCGCAGTATCGGTCTTCGAAAGCCAGCTGGCTCTGTGCATGAAGTCCAGGAGGTTCAGTAGAGATACGCACCATACCGGCATCATCAGGTAACGCAGATGCAAAAAGTTCCCTCAAATCTACTGGTAAGCGACTTTTAACCCCTGGCTTACATGCTGCGGCAAAGTGGATTTTGCGTCTCAAAAAGCCAAAATCAGGTGGTGGCTTGGTTGCGTAGCCCAGTGAGGCAAACACTTCTGTAAAGTTAATGCTGATGAGGGGTTTCACTGCAAAGCCTTTGACTTTGCCGCTTTTCCGATTGATGCATTCAAAGCCATTTAACATGTCATCAACGCCTAGTATGACCTCCCGTCTCTTGCGGCTTTGAAATTGTCCAAAAAGCATGTCCGCGAGGTACTTGCCGTGATTATTCTCTAGAAAGATTACCAAAACAATCTCAGCGAGGCCTTGGTCCACCATATATTGCGGAAGAGCAACTGTCGTCATCCAATTTTTCCCAACTGCCGCATTATCGGAGATTATAATTTTAATTGACTCTCCACGACAACAAAGCAGATGTGTTAGCAGTATTTCCTCAATGATAGCAGACGCGTTCTTGGGACCTGTTCCCTGCTCGTGGGAGAGGACTATGGCGTCGTTAGTCACAGCGCTGACGTGCCCGTTGACATCGAATCTCCACCTCGTGATATCAGAGGAGGCAGACACGAAAAAATGAGGCAAATCGACTTTGCTCATGTCATCCTGATGCATCATAATTGCACGGTCCGGGAACAGGTTCCAACCCACTGGGTCAGGAAACTCCTGATTTGACGCATGACTCGAACGTATAGCTCGATATTTGTTCTCTACTTTCCGAAAGTGGTCTGTAAGCTTTTTGACAGTGTCTCGAATACGTCCATCCCGGCTATTGTGTCTTCTCAGGTCCTGGACGCACTCGTCCTCTTGAAATCTTTTTTCCACAATGGTTTCAGACAATAACTCTAATCGTCTACTTTCCGCCTCTGATAGTTCCCGCGTTCGCTGACGCAAGTCGTCCAGCTCACTTTTCATGACGGCTGCCTCATGGTGGTACTGTAGTACGGCGTAGTGCATTGTTTTGCAGTTTGGACATGCGTTGTGATCGGACTGCGAGAAACTTATGACGCAGTTTGGCTGTTTTAAATAATCTTTCACCATGCGCTGTAACGTGCTGGACGATACTTCTGAGATGGTAGATTCATCATCACAGCGAAGGGCTTTGCGCAAGACCTCTCGGAGCTTCTCCTGAGTATTAATCTCAGGAGAATAAACGCGACAAACGTTAGCACCCGTGGAGCCCGACGGGTCTGCCCTTAAGACAATATCGAGGTGAGCCTCCACTCTCTGCCTAATACGTTCAGGGTAGCGATTTATCGGATGCGTCCGTTCGTATCGGTAGCGTAGTGTACCATCATTTAGCAACGGGCGCCCGAAGTCCTCTTGGTCTGAGCACATCGCGTCAAGGGCTCTCCGAACATCTGCAATTAGTGATTCAGACACTGTATACAAAGCGGAAAGTGCAGCGTTGCACACACGCGTAGTACTCTTTGAGAGCGGACAAAATAACCTATTCAATAAAACCTGTTTTCTTTGTGGCGCGGCTTGAGCTCCTTTGCAAGCTTGATAAAGTCATTGTATTCTCCAATTAAATTCCACTGCGGAACTGATGCGAAGCACGGCTCGTCGCAGCCGCAATCATACTCGTTCAGGCTTTGGAGAGGCGGATAGTTGCGTCTATCTCCATTTCTCCGGTGCTGACGCTGCCAGACTCCTGCAGCATCAACGACACTTGTAAGATCCTCCTCTGTAGCGGTGTTTAAGGACATGCTCATCCGGTTGTCTAAAAAATTTCGTGACACCCCCAAAAGCGAGCATGTAGCTTGTGTACACAGTTTTTGCTTCGGGCGTGCCATTCCTTTGGGGGAGTCACTCTTTCCGTAGAGAAACGGCAAGACCTCTAATACAAAACTTGCAAACTCCCGCAATGCCTTCTGACGCGCAGTGCCATGCGCTTGTCCCGAGGCGGCCTCTCTTTCAGATCTCGAGTGTGAAACAAAGGCAATTGTCGAAGTCCCTACACCGCGGCGTCTCGTCTCAATCTGTGCGTCTAGTTGCTCATGTGCGGCATGGCACCTATTTGCGTGGTTGTGAATCAGAATTAGCTCATCCAACAGCTGGATCTGTAGCGGGTCCATTGAGATTGCAACAATACCATATGGATGTGGGGAAGCGATCCCTGTGAATGCGGTATGCCGCTTGAGCTTTCCTGTCGATTTCAATAAACTCCGATACTTTTTTCTCAGCCATTTCCTTCGCCGCTGCGTCCAAGTTGTGTTCATTCTCCCCCATAGCATATGTCATATTTTTACGTATCTCTCCATTCCCGGAAAGGCGCAGCAAAAAAGCTGCAATCCGGTTTGACGCCTCGATTTTTTCGTCACTGCACTGTTGTTCGCCAAAATAGAGATCCAAAACCTCGGTATCCGCGCTGCTTAAAACTTCTTGCAAGCCGTTTTCCAGTGTGCTCGATGTAGTTCCGAATTTCGGGACTGTAGCAGGACAGGAAACCATGGATCTTTTCAATGAAAATTAATTGAAGGAATTAGTGAGAGAGGAATGAGAAGGGATAGATGACCAGGCGGGGGCTGGATGGCACACAAAGGACTGGAAGTATGGCACACGAGGGACTGGACGGATGGCAGAAGGGGGGAGAGTCGTATGGCAAGATAGATTGGTCGGGACGGGATAACAGGAGAGGGCGGGACAGCGGGAGGGAGGGGTAGTGTAGCCAGAGGGTGAGAGGAGAATGGCAGAGGAGAGGGTGCGAGATAGAAAGATGGGAAATAGTGGGCGGAAAGATGGAGGGGGTGAGATGACAGGATGAGAAAGAGTAAGATAGCAAGAGTTGAAGGAGTTTGGAGGGTTAGTGGCAAGAGCTAAGAGAATAAGAGAGAGAGGGTCAGAGTATCGGAAAAAGAGGAGCTGGAGACCAGCAGGGGGCCGGATAGCAGGAAAGAGATCGGCCCGATGGCAAGATAGAGGCGGGCGGATAGCAAGACGGAGGGGCCAGGATGGCAGTAGAGTGGAGATAGTCTGGAAGGGTGAAAAGGGGCGAAGAGGGCGGCAGGAAGGCACGGGTTCAGAAGATTTTTGCGTGAAAGAAAAGCGCAGGTGCGGGAATTATGCTCTCAGACAAGCCGATGAAGTGGCAAGGGAAGCTCCATGAAAAAAAGGACAGTTGCAGAAGTAATGAAGTACTGCTGGAGCCAGCGTTCCTTTGAGAGGCGGTACGCGGCGCTTTCTTTGTAGAAAACCAGGATATCGTTATATGAGTGAGCTGCCCAGATTCAGGGTTCCGGCAAACCAACCTGGAGCTTGAGTTAAATAGAAATAGAAGCACAACTCTTAATCCGGAAGTTTCGAGCTTTCGAGAAGGCGCGAGATTTCGACTAAATATTTTTGAAAAGCGTGGACGAGGTTTTGTCATGCAATGTTTAAACTTTCCGGAGATCGATATTGGAAAGTTTGGTTTTTCACAAATGTTCACTGCCGCATTACAGAAGACATACCTGAGCCAATATACTGAACCTATCAATGCCATACAATTGTCTGGCTCTGCTCGCTTCCACCGTTCCTACTCAGTCCTCCAATCACATGTGCTCCCATAGAATGTCTTAAATTTAAAAAGCTGACCGTGGTTTCTTCACAAGCATGACCTAGCCACCGTGACAGAAATCACGGTGCAAACGACAGCAGGCACGGACGAAAAATTCACCTCCAACACTTATTCTCATGACCGAGCCTCTGATAGCTATTGAAAGGCATGTACAGGGTAATAAGCGCACAACTACTATACCAAATGTTACCCTGCCGGGAGGGCACCTCTGGCGAGAAAATCCAACTCTGGTTCACTTCACTGCATCTGTAACTCCCTTGTTTGAGGCGATTTCTGCATAATATCATCTAGGACAGTCGGCTGGTCTCTTGTTTATTCCCTCGCGTGTAGTCTTGGAGTTGAATGCTACTGTATATAATATATTCAGTATATATATATATACTATATATATACAGCCGTGCCGATACGAGAATGTTTCAGATCGTTTCTGAGGTTGCTTTCAAAAGCTTTCAAACGCAATCTCAGAAACGCTCTGAAATATTCTCGTATCGGCACGGCTAACGCTGTAAACACAAATTACATGCCCTGGGATGATTTCACCACAGGGCATGGAATTTGCGGTTATGCCCTGCGATGATTTGCATGGAATTTGCGTTTGCAGCGGTGGGCTGGGTTTTGTCGAACCCAGACTCTAAAGTTACGCTGTGTCCGTCGAGGGGTGAGTTACCCGCCAAGGAATACAACATTGTTGAGACTGCAGACTTGCTCTACCTCGAAGTTTGCGAGCATCCGTGTACCGTTGCTTCAGTCGGGTTTTGATATCATCAAATGGGACGCTACCCTTGGTCGTTTCAAGCAAAAACCAGCCTGTTACAGTATGTACGATGGTAACTCGATGCCCACATCCCTTGCCCAGCCCGTACAGTATTAAATTAGTTCCTTGATGGAATGTATCACATACAGTGTTATGGCCCTTGTATGTCCAGAATTTCGTCGGGCATCCTGTGGGTGTTGAGCCTATATGCAGCTGCAGCTCCTGTACAAGAATGAAGATTTTGTTCACAGAGAGTTCACATGCGTGTGAACTCTCGGTTTACATTAAATTTAGAGAATTTGTCTTACGTACCCCTTTCTTCACCTCACTCCAGAACGACTTTCCGGTAGAGGTACATAGTGCTGGGGCTTGGCAAGTCGTAGCGTAGTGCCCAACTTGACCACATGCAGAGCAACGCGACTTTCGTTGAGGCGCTGCGACCCCACTTTCCACAAGCCGTTGTTTGCCCCGCGGTCTGGTTGGGCGTTCACGATGTATGATCACTCCTGGGGGGCACTGTATACGCAGGCGCCCAGAGTCTGACTATTTTACCTGGTGAGATCGGCCCACGGTGACGCACGTGGCCAAAGATGCAATGAAGATGCTTTGCTTGTCAGGGAACGTACTCCCATCAAACTCATTTTTGTGACGCCCTCTTCACCTCCTCACCTCACTGTCATGTACAGCTGTACTGTATTCAATCTAGCGCTCCTAAGAAATGGGGCTCATACAAAGGGGTATGTAAGGAAAACTCCAAAATAAAAGGGGCACGTAAGAAACATTGTCGTAAGTTTACGCCAGTGTGGAGATATTGACGTCAAACAAGACAGAGAGCAGCCAAATGTGCAGGTCTACTGTACAGGGTATTACCTAAAGTTTGCACAACATTGTGTCACACAGTAGACCTGCAGATTTGGCTTCTCTCTATCATGTTTGACGTCAATGTTGTTGGGGTGTGTTCGGGGGGAAAAGGTGTTTACCTTGACCCGCCTCTGCCTCCTCTTTGCTCTTATTGGAAACTTACGCAAACAAACAGTCGGCCGAGGATCCAATATTTGTTTTTCGCCTCCCGAGTCTCGCGACTCCACTCACCACTGCGCTATTTATGCAATCGGCGCGGCGCCGGCGGACCTTCTAGAAAGATCCTTAGCTACCTGAGCAAAAACTAAATTATGAATTACAATTTGATTCAGGTTCCAACCTTCACAAATGTCTCTCTCCCTTAGCTACCGAGCAAAAACTAAATTACTATGTTGTTCGATTTTCTATTAATGCAACCGGTTTAATGGCTTCTTACATATATTTTGCCTGCACTGTGAGAGCAATAAACCGTCCGAAATCTCTGGTAGTGAACCGTTGAACAGTAGAAATGCTGCAAACCCTGCTGTCAACTGTTAAAAAACTGTGTGAAAAAACGAAAATTACCTCCTTTCCCGACAAAATGGTGCCTCCTCCCGGCACGAAAAAGCAACTTAGAGCGCTTGCAATTGCGAAGCGCATCGTCGAGTCCACTTGTGATGATACTGTACAGTAATGCTGCGTTTTGCGTGCAGAGAACAGTAACGCTGTAGGAATCCGAAGCTGTACAGCAGAGCACCATTGATGAGTTTTTGAAATAAATATGAGACATTCCAAACGATTGGTCAGGAACGCAGGGTATGGTACATTGGGTATGGTACATTTCTTTGACTGCAACCCCCCTTTTTGTTGCAACCAGATCTGTCCACCAAGCGGTTGCAAATAAAGAGAGAATACAGTACTGTATGAAGTACAATTTGATTCAGGTTCCAACCTTCACAAATGTCGCTCTCCACACTGGCGTAAATTTTGCGACCTAGCAATTCAGGTTGGCGACCTGAAAGCTCTAAAATAGGAAAGCGGGTCCCAGCTTAAAAGCTCTCCAGCTTCGTCACTGTTATTTAAACAATCCCTGTTCCTCCAAACTGCCTTCCAAACTGATTCAAACAGCTTTCGGTCTCGCCTGTCAATCTCGAGCATCTGAAATGAACTCAAACACTACGGCACCCACGAATGTGCCCCTACGCACGTCTAAACGGGGACAGAGTTTGACGATAACCGACTGGGTAATCCGCCTTATGAATTTGAGCATCTTTCTCTTCCAGCCGCGGAAAGGATCGAATTTCCGATGGGCAAACACAGTCCGAGACTCCATTTCTTTTTTGGGCGAGTTTGCAGAGGGTCAGCATACGAAGATCTACGGTCGCGTTACCTCCCGGTACAAGTACCATTTGCAACAGCAATATGAGAATGCGATTCGGAAGTTCGATGCAACGGATCCTCTCGCAGCACATTTGCAACAGGTCGGCAATGCTGCTTTTTATCAATCCTTACCGGGGCACGTAGGCCAAATTCACACCAACTTTGCAGCAGATCTGACCAGAATTAGTGACATTGCCAGTATTGGATCCTCGGCCGACTATTTGTTCGTGCAAGTTTCCAATCGGAAGAGCAAAGAGGAGGCAGAGGCGGCTCGCGACAGCTATGTGAGAGGATTCAGTCGTCCTGTCAGAGCTGACGATTTCGATGATTGGGAACGACTGCGTGACGAGCTGAGGAGTCATCAACGTGTCGGTGAGGTACCAGATGGTCGACCTGAAGACTTCTCATGTCTGATAGCCGTTTCATACAAAAGCAAGGATGTCAAAATCACTCGACGAATGCTGCTACTCAAAGAAGACGGAAGTCCGGACAAAGAGGAGGGAATTCTCAACCAGATCCAAATTCAGATGACCGACGACTTTTTCGATGATTTCCGCTGGAGTCAACTCGTTAGGTCTTGCATAGCGATAGCCAGACGAGATGGGAAAAGCCATGTTCGCTTATGGGTCGATCGATTGGTGATGATGGGCATAGAAAAAGAGCAACGGGAAGCCATTTTCAAACTGACAAAATGGGAGGAATTCGGACTGTTGCCTTATGCAGTTTGTCACGTGGTGCGCTTGTATGAATCAAACGAACCTTACTATGGAACTGATTTTTGGAGAAAACTGGAGACGGTTCTCGGCGTAGCGGGTAAAGGCCTCTTCGTCGATGACTACATGTTGAGGAAGTACGATCACACGATATATTTTGGTCCCAAAATCTACCAAAGATTGGGCGACGGGCTCTGCTGCATTGGAGGTGGAGGTGTTTACATCAGGTCCACCACGCTTGCCCTGGCAACAGCTGTCCTAACGGATGGTGTCAGTGTAAGGGCGGCTCACGAAGACCGGAGGACAAAGAGATCTGCCACTGGTTGGAAATCTTGGGCGATTCGAACAATCACTGAAGGAGCGTACAGCAGTTGCCATTCCAGCATAATGGTAGAAGAGGAGCCATCCTCGATAGGGTATCAACAATTTCTAATCATTACGTTTTGGGAGTCCATGGTTTCTCGAAGCATATCTCTGACCGGGAGGAGCTATTTGGACATGTCTTATCAAAGGTCAATGGAATGGAAAAAGAGCTCCTCTTGGGACGGTATAGTAGAATGGATCGGGATGATGCCTGAGAGCTGTATAATTGGAGATCGGAACCAGATAATGAATTTCTTGAACCAACAAAGTGACGTCGATCTGTACGTGTCAACAACTGGACATGTCGCATCAATCATTACATTGCAAAATGATGATTTGAGAGATAAGCGCACTCTTGTAGTTGATTTAGCGCGTTTTTCAACGGCTCGGAGTGGACATGTCACAGCTGTTGCAGAAGCTACAGGTATCTGGGAAAATTCAAGTGTGATTCCCTTTTATCTCAAACATGTTTCAGATCCGGATGGGGATCAGCTTGCTGAAGTCCAAGATGACAGGATCGTGTTTCTTTACAAACAGATGAAGGTTGAATTCTTCTTCATGAAGGCTCTCAAAATGATTTGTGTAGTGGTGGGAAACCTGATCTTGATTTGGTTTACGTTCGGCGGGTGGCTTATTTTTGCTGCTGTTCAGCTTGGTCTCATCTTCAGACCATGGCCTTGGGTCGACACTTGCGATGTAGGCGAAGCTGTCTTCGACAATCTTTTGCTGCACGCTCTATATGATGCAGGCATAAAGAAGCAGTATAGAAGATTGCGAAATGTACCATTCAACCAGATTGGATGGCGTTGAAGACTTGTGGGTGGGTGTGAAGGAATACCTCTTGTGTTGATGATACCCTCTGTGCATGGCACAGTGATTGTGCCAAGCGTGCTCATGCGCAGCAGCTACAGCGACTGAAATGCTGTCTGTAGACAATATACTTACTGTATATCTGCTGACCTATCTTTGTTATGGTTTGTATTGTTGCTCTGCGCAATCTATTACTCTAATACTGAAGACTGTTCCATGCAACTGTGCCATAGTGCTGAACTCCACTGTGAGATGTAGGTACCATCTCTATCTTTAGTATAAACGTCGTCTCTGGATACGATGATGAATAAACTCTCGCCATGAACACCTGATCGACAGAAAACTTGAGGTTATGGGAGACACTCAGTAACGCTTCACTGCTACAGTATAAGGGGCACGTGTACATGGAATGGCATATAATTTAGGGGGAATTGCCAAAGCGGTGACATTGGGCGCCTCCGGAGGTAGTGCGTGGGCGGAAGCGTCTCGACAGGCGTGAGGGAGGGAGGTGTGGCGGCAGGCGGCGTGGGGGACAGTGTACGGCGGTGATGGCATGGGGGATGGGGAGAGTGCCGGTAGGGAGATGGCGATTGGTAACGGGGGAGGCCGTGGGGAGCGGCGGCGTGGTGCGGCTTGTTGCGGGCTCCGGCGCCGAGCCCTCCCATTACCTTGTTTCCACCGCCATCCCCGACACATTCCTACCAACGTCATCTGCCGCCACGTCGCGCCCTCCACCGTCCGCGTCCCATCCCCCGCCACGCCGTCGCGCTGCGCCCCGCACTGCCAAGCCTGCGGCCGCGACAATTGAACAACTTCAATTATCTGTTCGTGCTTTAAACTGCTTAACGAGAGCACAGCTACGCTCTATTTCTCACTTCTTACACTATTTGTGGGGGAGATTGTGGGGGAGATTTGGGGTACTGTACAGGGTACAGTACCCGGGAGTGGCCCCAGGACCAAAGCCTTCAAAAGGAGATTTTATTGGTCTACGTGTATGCCAGGTGTACACGTGGACAATCTCCCTTTGAAGAGCGGCGGTCCTGGGAAGTGGAAGATGTTGGCGGCCCCTCTATAAGAGAAAGGGGCGCGCCGCGACACCCCGCGACAAGGGGAGAACACAACGACACCCCAGACTGACCCCCGCTCTTGCAATAAACTTCACGCTTCTGAAAAAAACTTTTCTCTCTCCCCTACGCGCGCGGCCTTCCTCCCCCCTTTTCGCCGCCAACACTATTCACAAGAATAATTATTAGATGTTTTAAGAGTTTTGGACAAAAACTCGAGAGCAGCGCCCCGCGACTGCCGCACGCCGAGTCACACCCAGACCTGGACGTGCCGTCAGGCGTGCCGCCGCCACCGCCGCCCACGCCGCCGCGCGCGGATGTCGCGGCCATGTTCGTCTGCCTGCTCGTCAACGTGGCCTTCCGCCGCGTGACCACCGAGTTCGAGACCATCGCCACGCTCTTCTTGATGGAGCAGCATCACGTGAGGTAAATTATGGCGCGGCCTCGTTCTGCATCTTTTTCATCTGCCGGTGGGGCTGCTGATCTAAATGCCCCTTCCAGCCGATCGGGCGCACCTTTCGGACCGCGTCCTCGTGCTGTTCGGCCTGTGTACAATCGTGGCGGGCTGCGTCCCGCTCGCCGTGCACACCGTCTCGAAAGCCACAGCCGTGCCCGAATACGTCGCCCTCCCGCAGCGCACGTACACTGGGGGCGTAGAGTAATTGTACGGGCGGGACACGTGCCGCAGAGCGGACGCGTCAGGCGGCCGTGGCTTATACTGTAAGTGTACTCTCAGAACAGCAATGGTAAGCTGTGGTAATCGGCTCGCGCGGCTACGATGCTCTTCAGAGCAAATTAACTATTTTTACCAAATAACAGGTCAGATGACGTGTTATTTGGTAAAAAATGGTTAATTTGGGAACTCAGTTCTCGGTGCTCCCTCCTACTGTACATATGAAAGCATGCCGCTGAGGAAAACCAAGTGCGGACACTGGGTACACGTGTCCTCGTTATACGCCCTCTCTGGTGCTTACTAAATTACCAAATACTGTAGACCTTTTTCTAAGGGCCATTTGCGGATCTTGGGGTGACAGGTGCGGCTTTTGATGCCCCTGGGGAGGTGAAGTTCTAGCCCTGGGGGTGTTTTGGGGGCGACTACCCCAATTGAGGTGGCATTGAAGGGTGACGTTCCTCATTCATCCAATTCCGAGGGTGACGTCGCCCTAAGAAAACGACATGTTGAAACATGCCGATCTTTGTCTGTGTCTATAGGGCGACATTGGATCGTTTTCTGAGATTGATGTGATTTCAGTTGGAAATATAGGGTGACTTCGTATGCGAAACACCGGCAACTTCTACCCACTCTATCTACATACAATTACATACAGTATTTTCCATACCACGGAAGCATGTTTACCTAGTGTTTTCATCCCCATAAAGCTGTCTCAGTGCACAATCAGTAACAGTATGCGTCTCAGAACGACAAAGAGAGCAAGTATACTTCCTCTTTGATGGCGCAGGTCCGTTCTCATACCAGCTCTTCTTACGTTTTCCCGCGTTTTTCACTGGCCTCCCACGAGGGGGAGGGATAGCTTTGGGAATTCTTAAGTTCTGACCAAAAGCTACTAACCGTTTCGCTTGTTTGATAACTCTGTCGACAGAGTATTGAGCCGGCATTGAGTAACACAAGCTGTAGTAATTCTCTTTCCATGCTTTCGTCAAATGTCGTCGCGCAACGTGCTTATACAAATTATTAGATCCGTACTTCTCACATATGACAGCCGTTCCGTGATAGCAAGGAAAACCGGAACCATCTCGTGAATGCATGCAGCATGAAGGGGGCGTGTTTGGCTCTGAACTCATGACTACATGCCTCAAACGCGTTCCGTCCACCACGCTTCGTACCGTCGCCTCCATTTGCCCCGTTCCCTCTACAAACCTAACAGACTCCTTATAAACTCTTGATCTCTGAATGAGTAGCGCAAGACGTTGTTCAATGTGAGGTGGTACGGGACTCTTGCAGTTCATTGCAGTCGCTTGCCGCTTCAAAGAGGCAGTTCGCTGTGTCGACACAACTTTCTCCAGCATCTTTTGAGGCTCCACTGTCCTGATGTGGTTTCGCAGGGCGGCGGACATACCACTTTCAGCTCCTTGAGATGTCGTGATTAGATCTTGCAACATCGAGCATGCTCTGTACAGCTCACTGTCATCAAACCTATTAAGGTAATCTGACATCTTCATCGGGAGGTCTTTTTTGGCTTGAATAACCTCATCCCTGCTTGGGTTTCGAAGCGCTTTATCGTACATGCGCACACCAACAACCTTTCCCGCACCCAGTGCTGTAGCGAGATTTTTTCGGACATGCAGTGGGTCCAGGAACAACTTCGCGTCCCGCATGCACCGCTTGTACGCTGAGTCGATAGATTTCTCCTGGTCGACAATTGTCGTCCTCGTAGGTACATCAAACCCTGGGATATCCGCGGCGGCAGCAAAAACTTTCTCCCACGTGTCCATTCCCTCAGCTCCCACGAAATGGGCGAACACCAAGGGGCAGAGTTGATGGTTAGTGTCGTATCCGAACACTTCAAATGTGGTTCCGTAAGAACGGCGGCCCAAACCCTCGCAATGAGCGGCATCCGCTGCGCATGTCATCCTGCCCTTTCTACAGAAAGCTTCTGCAACCATCGGGACGAATAGGAACCCGCCATAATATTTACCCTCATCCGCAATATCCGAGACGTCCACATCCTCTACACTAAACCCGGATTGTAGGGATCTTAGTTTTTCAGAGTATGAAAGTTTTTGCTGTTGTTTTTATATGAATCGTGCAGCCTTGATGCGCTGCGCCTTCATTTCCGTACCGGACAAGATGAAAATGTCCACCCTGTGCCCCAATTCTCTCAACAGATCAGAGTATCCTTCCAGGGCAGCCATGTCAACGGCTCGAGCAGCTGAGATGTATCTGTTCAGCTCGCGCCTCACAGCGCGAATGTGTGAGTTTGCTGGTTGTCGACGATAAATTGACTTCGCCCTTAAAATGGACGCTAGGACGCTGATGGGCATGTCAGGGTTCAAGGCGAACTCATCACGAAGCGCCCGTGCGGTCTGCTCAGCGGTATACGCCGGTCTAAATTGACAGGACTTTCTGTCGACTGACTGCCCATAGCACTGGTTTTCGTGCTCTTGGAACCGATTCAACTTCCACAATCCCGATTTCGGTTGCCGATTAAAAGTGAGAGTTGCGGCACAATGCTTTCGTCGACAGTCCATACGCACCATTTCGAAGTTTTTCACCACATTCACTCCCTCCGGCACACCCAAATTCGCAGTATATGCTCGAATGAGCTGCTCGCAGCGCCATCTTCCGGAAAGCTGAATCCCAACCTCAGGGGTATACGGGACGCATCGCCGGGGAACCCACGTCATCTCTGCTACTCTATCCGCCGCTATTTCCGCCATTGCCTTCCGCTGACTTCTCTTTTTTGACGCTCTCTTTTGTTCCGCTCGCCGTTTCTTCTGTTCGTCTTCAGACAAAGTTCTGAGGTCAACTGGCAACACCCTTTCAGCCGCAGCTGCTGCATCACAAGCTTCTCCATTGCTGCTGGTGTCTTCAGGCGTGAAGGCTATGTACGCTCCGAAATCAAAGTCATCGTCGTCAATACATTCCGGGCGAGGGGAACGAGAGGAATCTGCTTCATCTTCCATCGAACTTTCTTCTTCGGCATCAACATCCTCATCGTCCTCTTCCTCATCCGAGTTCACCCCGTCACCCCCCTCTCTATCCCAATCATCGTCAGGCGCCCCAACGAACTCCGCTTCCTCACCATCTGGGCCGTGACTCATTTTAGATTCAAACTCTCTACCCAGGACATCGGTCATAAAATCGGTTCCGTCAAACGAAGATGTATGGATCCTGGGGGAATTATTCCGAGCCCCTCCTTGGCTCCTTGATTCCTGACGATCCCTTCGTTCCCTCCTCTGCCTCTCTTCTCGTTTCCGCGCCTCATTATCCATACGTGCTCGTTCCTGATAAGACATTCTCTTCTTTCTGCGCTCCCTAGCCATCCGTTCCCGCCTTTGCGTAATTGTCTCAGGCTTTTCTAATTGACATATGTCTTCGTCTTCCGTTTCCCATTCTTGTCTCATTTCCTTCTCCCTCCGCTGATGTCCCCATTCACTTTCCGCTGAGCCTTTTCTTTCCCTCTCTTCCTCCAATGCCTGCTCTTTTTCTCTCTCCGCTTCCTCCCTCTTCGCACGTACTCTCTCCTCCTCTAGCCCCTGCTCCCTTTTACGTCTCAACTCCTGAGCTCTTTCTTCTTGCATCCTTTCTTCACGATTGCGACGCCCCTCCCTCTTTTCCCTTTCTTCACTTTTTTCCGTTTCTTTGCTCCTATCCTCGCCTTTTTCCGCTTGAGAAGACATTTCCTCCTCCTCAGCCATGACCTTTCTTCGAATATTCTCCCTTTCCTCCCTTAACATGAGTTCGAGTAGTTTCTCCTTCGAGGTTGGAATGAGTGTAAAAAGTAGTGTTGCGGGAACCAAATTTGAAGCATCTTCCCCGTTTTCCATCTCATCAAAACGAATGTCTCTCTCAGCTTGTTCTTTTGCGCGAGTAAGCTTTTGCATAGCTTTATTCGCGGAGGAGCGATCCGACACACATCTGTCCGGATGAACAAGAAAAGAGAGCTTCTTGAAACGCTTTTGTATATTGCGCAAAGTGGGCTCGTCACTTTCGTCCGCCGTATCTCCGGGATGAGCGCAACAAAAGACGTCAGTTACGGGCGTTTCGTTGATGATGATTGTCCCAAAGTGATGCAGGGCCTTTCTGGCGTCTGGCGGAAAAGATCGCATTATCCCGCCAAAATATGGCAGAGAAAAACGGGAAAGAACAGAGGGTGACAGTGAAAAGCGAGCTGTGGTGCGAGGGATACTTCCGGAGGATGGATTTTTGTGGGGTGACTCTCGGAGAAAGTGGTCGAGGGGCAGGCCGAGGCGCAGGGTATTTGACAAGAATATCTGCGCTGCGGACGCCCTACAAATGAGACACTCATGCCGGCCAGAAACACTGTTTCTGGAGGACCAGTAGTTTCATACGAATTGCTCAATTTTTGCAGATAATGCGCCATACATGCCATTTGTGCAATGTCCGAGTGTTTACCAGAGCGTTGAGGCCCACATTTACGTCACATATCGTTGTTGTTGTACACTAGTTTTGAGAGCTGCTCCGTAGCACGCTGATTATTGAGAAAACCCAAAGTTTACAGGGATACATGTTTTGTCACCCGTCTTCTCTACTCGTACAAGTAGTCTCAATTTCACCGAAGCTCTCTCAACTTTTGTACTGAAGCGGTGGAATGGAGGGTATGAGGGGAAGAAGGGGTAGCGGATGGGTTGTTTGGACCGAGAAGTGAAAGCTCAAAACCTCCAATGATTACCGCAATGTACGCATGAGACAAAGGTCGTTAATGGTTCATCTGCGGACCGGGTCTGCATCTGGTAATAAGTACATTTTCTTTGCTTGCATTTTCCGCACTTGAACATATCAGTACTTGCCTCTTGCTTGCTAAACGGCATCGCATCTCTGGTCATCTTAGCACGAACTTCCTCCCGATTCTTTCGTAGCTCATGATGAGGGCGCAGGCGTCCGTTTCGCCGAGAATTCGTTCAGAGAGGACAGGGGCGTTGGGGTGTTGGTCAATACAAATGCAACAGCGTTTGATCACATGAGCAATGTCCCAGTCGATGGGAGTGGTGGCCTACCAGTAGGTGACAGTACCGGGGTGTCGCCGTCCCAAGTATATGTGGACAGATAGACTTTCTTCCTTTTCCAAATTGTTCATCATAGATTGTGTAAATGGGAGCCTGTACAAGTCTGATACCATGCAAGTTTAACAGCTCCGATGTCTTGTTAAGCATGTGCATCCAAGCGATGGAGGACGCCGTTTGAGCGGAAGCAAGCGAGGAAGAGTTCCTCAATAATGTAAAGTCTCTTCACAGAACCCGTATATACATGTCATACGGTCGAGCCATATGAGCGATATCCACGGCGCATCAGCGAACGACGTGGAATTATCAGTTTCGCTGCAAATACAGTACTTCGTAGGGACATGATAATGACGAGGACAGCTTGCCGAGAGATACAATGGCCACCTTCGACACCTGTTGATTGGCGGAAAGCGTTCTGACCAATACACTAGGCCAATAGGAGTGATTCCCATATGGTGACCTTGCTGGACAATGAATGAGGATCCGGACTGCAGAGGGCAGGCTGTGATGTCCGCACAAGTATTTGGTTGTTCCAAGAACATTTTAATACGCAAACCAGGCAGCTACATTACTCATGAGTCCTGCAATGTCGTCGGAGTGAGCGCCACATCGCTAGATGAAAAAGGCTATGAAACAGTGACAGAAAGAATCGCTCCGGCTGCATTTCAGCCGCACCAGAGACAAGAAAGGGAAACTTACACTATCAACAATACGAGTGCACCACCTCTCCCATGACCCGCACGCCCAGCAATACGCCCGCCACCCTGTCGTCTCCGCCCACTCCTTCCCGCCGCAGCCCATGCACCCGACGGACCGCCGCCCGCCGCTGCCCATCGACATCAAGCCGGTCCAGAAGCCCACCGCCACCTACGAGCTGGATGACTCCCCGCCCATCGAGCCGCACATCGTCATGCAGATGGGCGGCATCCCGTACGCAGACCTGTGCAAGGAAAAGGCCCGTGAGGCCTTCAAGGAGATGAAGAAGAACGAGCACATGGCCAAGGGCGAGTTTGACCGCATGAAGCGCCGAAAGAAGGGTGATACCTCGATGACGCCGCGTGAGAAGTACACACGCCGTCTGAAGATGAACCAGGACTCGGCCGCCGCCGCACGCTACGCGCAGGAGGTGTACGTGCACATGTTGGAAAAGCTCGTGAGGACGACTGAGGAGGAGAAGAAGGGCTTCATCCTTCAGGTGCAGCAATTGCAGCAGGAGAACGCAAAGCTCAAGGATAAGATGATGCAAATGTCGCAAATGAGACAAAGAACAAGGATGCTAAAAGCTTTGTCCAGGAACTCTGGTACACAAGTAGCATGACATGTACAGTGAAAATCACTACCGAGAATACGACTGTGCCGAATGCCCACATTCCCAGCATCTGCCCACCGGCCTGCGGAATGTCACCAAAGCCCCAGAAGCAAACAAAGAACACTACAGCTGATTGCCATATTGCTGAGAGAATCCAGCTCAAAAAGACGCGAAAGTTGTACGCCGTGTTTCTTTGCCCCTTTGAATAGATTTCAGGGAACGCAAGCGCATATTCGGCAGTCAATTCCTGATCGAATATACCGAGGACAATGGGAGGAAGCGATTCCAAAAGCAAATTGTAAAGACCCCCCATCCAGGGATCCAAGAGAGGCTGACCTGAAAATGCTGAAAAGAATGCCCAATAGATCTCACAAAGAGTCAGCGCCGCATTTCGGTATATTGTGAACAAGACCATTTTTGAGAGCCGTTTGTAGCTCCATCTGCCATGGACTAGCATTAGACGCCCCAAGAAACGAAACTGACCAATAGAGTAGTCTGAGGCCAGTTTGGCCTCTTGCCCTTCCAAGCTCACAATTCCCACCCCCACATGGGCCGCTTGAATCATACCGACATCATTAGCGCCGTCTCCAATAGCCAAAGTAACTTTGTCCTTGTCAAGCCGGCGGACCAGCTCGACAATCTCAGTCTTTTGCTTCGGACTCACACGGCAAGCGATGACTGATCAAGCCATGTTTGTCACTATCATAAACCGTTTCTGGAGTTCCTCTTCGAGAGCGTAATGCAATGTTTGTCCGTCAATGACCAGGCCAAGCTTTCGTTCCATTGCTGGATCTGTACGCATGGCGCTCCACCTGCCAAGTGCTCGGTCAAGCTGCGCAGCTGTATCTTCGAGATTGTCCTCATTGATGATCACGACATCCATGCCTTCGTCAATGGCGCCGCATGACAACCCAATATTAATGGCTGTCTCTTGTTTGTCCCCGGTTAGTACCCATACCTTGATGCTGGCTTGTTCCAGCTTCTTTAAAGTCTCTAGAACACCATCTTGGAGTTTGTCTTCGATAGCAGTCGCACCCAGCAAGGTAAGATCACGTTCGAATTCGTCAACAACTGCAGCAACTTTTTCTTCACGATCGATTAACTCGGAATTCGCGTGCCGATATCTTCGATGCCAATCTTGAAACCCATCGTCATCAAGATCTGCATAGGCAAGACAAAAAGTGCGCAATCCTTCCACTGCAAATTCATGAAGATGCTGCTCAGTGACATCGGGTGACTGCCCTTCAGCCAGTCTCGCAAAAATGATGGCGTCTGCGCCCTTTGTGTAGATCCTTAGCTTGCCATCCAGATCTCGAGTTATCACGCTCATCCTCTTTCTCGTGGAATCAAACTCGATTGTTTCCACTAAATCATGTGTCTCGCTTCGTCCGAATACATCAATAGCTGTATCACGATTAGACCTTGATAAATAAGTGAAGCCTAGAATACGTGCTGCATTCACTAGTGCCGCCTCGTCAGGAGATGACGCTTGATAACTGATCACTCCCGAATTGTTGTTCGACCCATTCAGAGAATTTAAATTTCGCTGATTCCCATCTGCTGCGCTAGCCTCTGCGATCGTTGAAGCCGATACAAGAGAGAAGGATTGGTGCGCCCTGTTTCGATTCCCTCCTCGCGACAGTAGCAACTCGTTCGGCAACGCGGTCCTTCCCTGCTTCCTCCGCCTGGCCGACCCTTCTCTCCCTCTCTTCCAACTTGCGCACCCACGCATGTAGCCTCCCCTGCTCGACGCCCGAGTACTTCAAGCTGGCGAAGAAGGAGCGGGAGGGGCGGGGGATGAACACGAGCAGCGTGAGGGCTTCTTGGAATTGACAGGGACTTTAACTAGCTCCCTCACTTCAGCCACGCGCAAATTTTTTGCTTCATCTCCGCCAAGGAAAGGAAGCACATCTTCGGTTAATGCGAACGGATACCTTGAAGCGCTATCATGGACAATACCACGGTTGCAGTCCAGCGCAACGCAATGATCTACAATTCCGTGTTCCACTATTCGGACTATCCACACGCCTTGATTATGGTGCGCAAGCCACTTGAAAGGATTTGCCTCGACCGCCTTCTTCACAGCTTTAGGAACTCGGCGCACTGATAGTTGAGCGGGAATTTGGTGAACCAGAGAAAAGAGTTGCTTGAGTGTTTTGATCTTCATCGGATGCTTCCGAAGGTACTTGTCGACGCTTGTTCCTCCCGTGGTACCATATAGCGCACAAGTGCCGTTGGACAGCGCAGCCGACACGCATGAATCGTCGTTGCTGCGAACGAGGTTCGGGCCATACTGGTGCACCTCAAACCTTCTTGATCCAGTGATTTGTCCGCGTGCCCCAATACCACCGATGAGTATCGGTACACCGCGATGGGCCATCATCCACGCAAACAGTCGACGGAACATCTCTTGCAAAAACTTTTTCTTGCGCGGCAAGTCGTTGGTACCATCATCTATCGCGTTTAATAGAGCCTGCATCGTGTGAAGGGATAGTGTAATCGAATTGGCATCGATAGGCCAGAAACTTTCGTCACCGCCTGTCAATCCGGCGGCAGCGTACAAAACGCCGTTTTGCATTTTGTGGCCGCTTGCCCCTTGTCGGCCATCACCAATCATCACCCTGTCAATCGCCCAGCTCATGGTGTCCAAGAATACTAGGAATGTTGCACCTCCCCGGAGATCTGCACAAACTTCCGTTCTTCATGGACACGCGTGAGATGGGCGCCGGGCTCTTTGGTGCGGGTTCCGGGTCACTTGGAGACGCGGCCGCGGTGCACCGTGCTAGAGGCAGGGTGAGCAAGGCGATGAAGAAGGCGGGTGAGGGCATTTCGGCGAGATGTGCGGGGGGGGAGTTGGGGAACGTAGACGCCGAAAAATGGCGGGTTCAGAAGGCAGAACGTACGCCGCGTGACTGCGCGTCACCGTATGCCACTGTGGTGGGCACTGGGCGGCCTCTATAGCCACACTATATTGTTTCAGTTTTGAGAGCGCTTTATCCAGCGCGAAACCGTGCGTTGGCGTGCTTTTATAGGGGTGACATTAAAACAATCATGCATTTCTAGGGCGACTTTTCTAACGTTTAGGTCTCTGCCGAAATGCCACGATGCTATACGTTTTTATGGGGTGACATCCCCGAATATGAGTTTGTCGGAGGTGACTTTACGATCGTTTTTCTGTCACCCTAGAAAACGTGCATTGTCACCCCCTGAAAAGGACACCATGGACCAAAATCACCCTACTAGCAAAGCACTTTTTAGTAGTGTCGCCCTATAAAAACCCCCACCGCATTGAAATCGCCCCACGTAGATTTCACTTTGGCCGGGTGTCGCCCCAAAATCTACACTTTGACCCTTTTTCTAAAATTCTGTGTATTGCCGCACCAATAAAAGAAAATTCGGGGTTCCTCCCAGGAGGAGATACAGAATCTCTAGCCGTCTGGGACCAGTTGGTTAGCAAACGCGGAGCATCCATCACGTAGGGGTTGTCTACTGGCTACGAGTGCAGACACGCTCCGAGTGCAGATATGAGCACCGAGGCTTGCCGAGGGCATCATATCGCAGCACGAGGCTGCGTGTCTGCCCGAAGTATCCAGGAGACAATAATATGCTTGTCTACCGGCTGCTACCGCAACTGTCAGCCATGCTAATTACAGTGGGTTCGAGTAAAATTGTTGTCCCCGCTGTCACGGTGCGTATGTATGTCAGAGGGCTCCGGTAGACAATGGTGGAAGAAATGCGGAGGTGACGATCGGCATGATCTTTTGGGAGGTGAATGCTGCGTGTAACTCTGCGAAAGCCACTGCGTGTCAAGATGGATGCCCTGCATGTTTAGCCCCCGGGGCATCCCGGAGTGTTACCCGGAGTGTTACCAATTGCGCCACTCACGCCCGCGACGTATCGCAGTGCTACGCTGCGCAATGCTAGTAAAACACGGTGGCAAAACGATTCTTGGCTATGCGGATGTCCTGGGTTCACAACGGTCAGGATGCCGGGCATACCGGTCGACATGCCAACAAGGGTAGTCCCGCGCTCGACGTTGACAGCAGTTCCGCCTCATGCAGTGCCAAGGTCGGGCAGAGTTATTTCGGTGCTGTTGACAGCACCCCATCTATTCGACACCTACTGTAGCGTTCCTTGTGTCCTGGAAGTGGCGAGTGCGTTTAGAACTGATGCACATGCACAAGTGTCTCGACGACAAGCGATTTGCCTCATATTTTAGACCAGATTCCCTTTTGTGCAAAAATATTATATATATATATCAATTTGGACACCATTTCTTTAACGTATCTGCGCTCGGCCGTAACATCTTGCAAAAAAATTGGGATAGCAGTTGTGAAGACACACAGAGACTGAGAATCCAATGCAGTTCAATGTCTAGTTAAAACTTTAAACAGGCGCTTTCGTTTCGAAGATATAAACACGTAACGCTTTGAGGTCCGTCAAAAAGGCTTCGTTTTTAGGCTTTCTAATAATGGCTAGAAAGGACGTGCACATCTCACCAAACCCCAGCCTTCCACAACGCACAACTCAACCGCAGTGAGGACGGCATCTTTTTCCTTCTTGCTGAACAAGCTCAAATCGAGAAAAACAAAGTTGGAAGGTGGCCTCATACGAGGTCAAATGGCCTCATGTGAGGCCACATGTCCAATAGAGACGAGCCTCGCGTTCATGAGCAGTCACCAACACGCTCAAATCCAAACCCGTGTGTCTAGTCATTTCGTCGCCGGTTTGGCGTCCCGTCTCAGCGTCTCACACTCGCAAAGTAGTGTCACTTGACCGCAACACAACGCACTTGCCGTCTCTGCTCATACATACAGCGCTTATATAATTCGAAAGGCCTTCGAAGGAAGGAACCTGGGCATTCTTCGTGATGCACCAAAATAATCAACTCACCGTTGCGGAGTCGAAGAACAGCACGACTGCCGTCCTGAGAGAGAGAGAGCGAGAGAGAGAGAAACGGGCTGTAGATGTCACCGGCTGTTGGCATCAACAGCCGGTGACGTCACCGATGCCGTGTCGCCATCGGTACAGTCAGCATCGGCACTGTCAGCATCCGGACTGTCAGCATCGGGTAGAACGGTCAACACTAGCACTGTCAGCACCAGCACTGTCAGCGTGAGAGGGGGCTCGGCGAAAACAGAAGCGGGCTGAGAAAGACTCTTGTGACCACCCTCCTCTCCCGGTGGTCTTCAAGGTGTTTACTTTCTATCTATGTCTCTCCTGGCTGGAGGCGCCGTCGCTACTGTAATGCGGCGTGTCAGCGGCGTGTCGGATGCTCTACTACTCCGCGACCACTCGTGCGTTGTGTAGGAGCTGCTTGCGGCGTGTCAGTCCCCCCAACGCGCGGAGTGGGTGCAAGAGGACAGAGGCGCATTTTCGTGTGCAGCGAGGTGAACAATGCCTCACTTAGTGGTTTAGTGAGTGAGTCGGCTAGCATCTCTGTGCTGGGGACGTGCTTGAGGGTTATAGTGGCTTCTGTAACGTGATCCTGAAGGTAAGGGAAGCGAATATTGATGTGCTTCCGTTTGCGTGTTGGAGCCACATTGGTGGCGACTTGGACCGCAGAATTGTTGTCGACATTCACGAGCGGCGGCCCCTGGTAGTTTATGGGTAGCTCTTGCAGCATGTCTTTCAACCAGATTGTGTCCTGGCATGCCTGGGCTGCGGACACGTACTCAGCTTCGCAAGTTGATAAGGCGACTGTGTCTTGCCGCTTTGAGCGCCAGTGCACTGGTGATCCTCCAACAAGATGGACATGCCCGGAGACTGATTTGCGAGTGACGCCGCAGCGCGCGTAGTCTGCGTCAGCGAAGCTGGTGAGATGTATTGGTTTGTCGAACTGGCATAATATTCCGTGTGTGGGTGTGTGAAGCAGGTACCGAATGGTCCGCTTTAGATGTTGCCAGTGTCTCTCTGTTGGCTTGGAAAGGGCCCTGGCTAGGGCAGCGGTAATGTATGCTATGTCAAATCTCGTGCAGTCTGCCAGATATCGGAGATCTCCAACCACTTCCCTATACAGTTTCGAGCTTGTGATTTCTGGTTCGTCGTCTGCAGGCGGATCAAGATTAATTCCTGATATGTACGGGTATTTCTTGGTGTTTGCGTTACTCATTTTCAAACGTTCAGCGATTTTGGTGATGTAGGCAGGTTGTGAGACATGTATTCCCTTATCTGTAAAGGAGAAATGCCAATTCAAGTAGGATTTTGGCCGTCCGAGTCGCTTGACGTTGTATTTCTTGGAGAGGGTGTTGTGGAAGTCGTCAATGAGGTTATGCCTTGTTGCTGCCACTAAAAAGTCGTCCATGGACACTACTACTAAGATGTAGTCTG